TAGGATTTTGTTTGAGGTGTTTGGCTACCATTGAAGTAGGATTATTATGATGGCCGGAGTTGTGTTCTTTGAAGCGTTTATCAAAAGTTCTATTAGTATAACCAATGTATTGTTTATCACAGGGGGAGCATGTGATTTTGTAAACACCCTTTTGTTCAGCTATGGATTGGACTATGGTGACATTTAAACTAGGGATGGACGGGATTGAATTTTTAGTTCGGGACGGGACGGGACGGGATTTTTATTTCCTTCCCGATTTTCGGGACGGGACGGGACGGGATTTTTTTCTGTGCATAGAAAGAAAGTACTGTATTGCAGTTACCAAAAAAGACAAACAAAATCAATTTTTACCATTGGTGGCACTGATCTATAAAAACCAAAAAATGGGTAACAATTTACAAGTACCTATAGAAACTTGTGAACTGTATGACTCACGGTCATGGCGCGATCGTCGTCATGACTCGCGGTCACGGCGCGATCGTCGGTATGACTTCGCGGTCACGGGATTATCGTCGGTATGACCCACGGTCACGGCGCGATCGTCGTCATGACTCGCGGTCACGGCGCGATCGTCGGTATGACTTCGCGGTCACGGGATTATCGTCGGTATGACCCACGGTCACGGCGCGATCGTCGGTATGACTTCGCGGTCACGGGATTATCGTCGGTATGACCCACGGTCACGGCGCGATCGTCGTCATGACTCGCGGTCACGGCGCGATCGTCGGTATGACTTCGCGGTCACGGGATTATCGTCGGTATGACCCACGGTCACGGCGCGATCGTCGTCGACTCGCGGTCACGGCACGATCATCGGTATGACTCGCAGTCACGGCGCGATCGTCGGTATGACTCCGCGGTCACGGGGTTATCGTCGGTATGACTCCACGGTCACGGCGCGATCGTCGTCATGACTCGCGGTCACGGCGCAATCGTCGGTATGACTCGCGATCATGGCGCGATCGTCAGCATGACTCGCGGTCACGGCGCGATCGTCGTCATGACTCGCGGTCACGGCGCGATCGTCATCATGACTCGCGGTCACGGGGTTATCGTCGGTATGACTCCACGGTCACGGCGCGATCGTCGTCATGACTCGCGGTCACGGCGCAATTGTCGGTATGACTCACGGTCACAGCGATAAATCATTATGACTCGCGATCGATAAATCATGTATCGTCGGTATGACTCCACGGTCACGGCGCGATCGTCGTCATGACTCGCGGTCACGGGGTTATCGTCGGTATGACTCCGCGGTCACGGGGTTATCGTCGGTATGACTCCACGGTCACGGCGCAATCGTCGGTATGACTCGCGGTCGCGGCGCGATCGTCGTCATGACTCGCGGTCACGGGGTTATCGTCGGTATGACTCCGCGGTCACGGGGTTATCGTCGGTATGACTCCACGGTCACGGCGCAATCGTCGGTATGACTCGCGGTCACGGCGCGATCGTCGGTATGACTCGCGGTCACGGCGCGATCGTCGGTATGACTCGCGGTCACGGCGCGATCGTCGGTATGACTCGCGGTCACGGCGCGATCGTCGGTATGACTTGCGGTCACGGCTCGATCGTCAGCATGACTCCGCGGTCACGGCGTGATCGTCGGTAGGACTCCGCGGTCACGGCGCGATCGTCGGTAGGACTCCGTGGTCACGGCGCGATCGTCGGTAGGACTCCGCGGTCACGGCGCGATCGTCGGTAGGACTCCGCGGTCACGGCGCGATCGTCGGTAGGACTCCGCGGTCACGGCGCGATCGTCGGTAGGACTCCGCGGTCACGGCGCGATCGTCGGTAGGACTCCGTGGTCACGGCGCGATCGTCGGTAGGACTCCGCGGTCACGGCGCGATCGTCGGTAGGACTCTGCGGTCACGGCGCGATCGTCGGTAGGACTCCGCGGTCACGGCGCGATCGTCGGTAGGACTCCGCGGTCACGGCGCGATCGTCGGTATGACACGCGGTCGTCGGTAGGACTCCGCGGTCACAGCGTAATCGTCGAAATGACTTCGTCTCCTGCGTTCGCGGACCTATCGCTCGCAATAACGGCGTTATCGGCACTCGCGAAGCGGAAAAATCGCCGACGATCGGACCAAATCCCGTCCCGAAAAATTCCCGAGTCAAATGTAATCCCGTCCCGATAATCGGGAATATTTTTTTCCCGAAAAATTCCCGAAATTTCGGGACCCGTCCATCCCTAATTTAAACTGTAATTTGGTACCGGGTTGGTTTTAACTTTATATGCTGGGTTGTATCCTGATTTTCTGAATACTCTTCCAATCTTTTCCGTGGTTTTGTCAAAGTACTGGATGGAAACATATTTTGGTTTTGTGGATTCGGTATTAGATGTGTCATTAGTTGTGATTGGGTGTATTTTATTTATTTTCTTTCTTCTTTCTTCACATTGTAAATTGAACTTCAAGGACTCCCTGAAGATGCCACACACTGTGGTGAAATATATTGGAGGATTATAACTTCATACCTGCAAGAACAAAGGCATAAGGTAACTAGTTCAAAAATTAAATATTCTAGTTCTTGCCACTGGGAAAATACATAAAATCATCAGATGTTATTTTCTCGCGGTTCTTTCGAATGTCATGAATAGTAGCCCGGCCGACTCCATACTCGTTGGCTAGATTTGTAAGTCTATCACCCCTGTCCAATCTCTTCAAAATCTCGTTTTTTTGAATCAATGTTAAGGTTTTATGTTTCCGTTTGCACTGAGACATTTTCACTTGTTATCTACAGTTACATTAGTTTCAGTATACTACTTTAAAATCACGTTTACTGACACGACACACCATACGTTTACACTAGGCACTCTTAATTACTGTACAGTACACTGTTACAAACACGGGCAACGCAACAACTGGCGACCGGAAGTCGTCTGTTTACAATAGTTTCAATAACGTGTCTCTACTTGATCCCCCACCACGCCCGTCTACAGACGCCGGATTACTGGAGTGCCGGAGTGCCGCAGTGCCGGATTACAGAGGGTCTACTGTACCTGTAACAGTTGGCGGTTGCATTAGCTATCTGGGCCTTGGCCGGATGGGTGATTGTCACCTCCGCTCAAGGCCAGTACTAGAGCAGCCGCTCCCCTACCCTAGGGCTGTCTAGTCACGATCCGCTGCCTTCAGCGAGTGCAGAGGCACCCCCAGAAGCTGTGCATAGCAGAGTACGACTTTGCATGACGAAGTCGACTCACTTTGCATGTCAAAGGCGGTCTTGAGCTGTCGAAGACAGCTCCCCCTCCCTGAGGAGCTTACGCTTACCTCTCGCCTCCTTTTTTATGTTTTTATGTTTACACTTTAACTTATTTCTAAGAGTAGATTCATCGGTGGAATTCATTAATTTTGAATAAAAATAACATTTGCTTATGCCTAGCACAAAACTGTACGATGCGTCTAACGGAAATCTATTAAAGTCAACTGGTAGAGGAAACTCAATGTCAAATATAGGCCAATACACTATTAAATATGAGATTGACTATCCTACTAATATTATAAATGAGAAAGTTTGGATGGATGGATGTATGGATGTATGTTTGTGACAAGTGAACGCAAAAAATACTGGTCGGATTGGGCTGAAATTTGGCATGATGATAGCTCACATTCCCGATTAACATATAGGCATATTCTTATTTCAAAAATCCTTTCGGGCTCCGCCCCAGTGGCTCTGGAGTTTCCTATGTTAACCTTATGAGAAATGGAATTATTGAATCTTAACAGCTGTTTCAACTTAACAAGTTGGTTCTGTTCTATGATGTTCAATAGCATTAAAGTTACAAGGATTACCAACAGGGTGCAGCACTATTATTTCTTTTACATTTATTTTGACAACAGCTAATTTGCAACCAAAAGGTGAGTGAGCGTAGCGAACGAACTTCAACCTGGAGGCGAGTTAGCGTAGCGAACGAGCTAACCTGAAGGCAAGTGAGCGCAGCGAACGAGCTCCAACCTAAAGGTGAGTGAGCGTAGCGAACGAGCTCCAGCCTAAAGGTGAGTGAGCGTAGCGAACAATTGAGCCATGCGAACTAGATAATCTTGAAAATTAAGAAGTTAAACGGGGCAAAGCCCGCGGGTTACAGCTAGTTATAACATAAAGGAGTCTTATAAAATGGCCCATGCTTTAAAATATAAAAATACTGTAATGATACTATTTTTAAATGTATAATTTTTATTTTGGTATTTTTTACTGTGTCAGTAGTGCAAGTTTATCTAGGCTTACAATGGTTTTCAACGACTTGAGACGATAGGGTCGTGCACAAAATGTTATACTAATAGCTCAAATGTTATTATATATTTTTTTAATACACTTTTTAGACTGTATTTTATAATATCATGAAAATGTTACATATGTAAGCCTATGTTTATTTTTTTAACGTCTCCTACAAATTAAACACGACAAGCAATGCTCGGTCTCCTGGTACTGCTTTATAGTAACTGTAGGAAAAATATAATGTGTAACACGAGTGCATTCTGCCTTTACTGCACTAGAGAAACTTTCCACACTTGCCCATGTAACACGCTTGTGCTTAAACATTTCTCTCGTGTGCAGCAAAGTGCCACTTCCCCCACTAGTTACACAAATAACAATAGTACATTGAATTGTTTTTGTGCAATCATCAGTTACGTAGAAAATCCAAAAGATTTAAAATTATTATGTTATTCTTATGGAGAATAAAACTGTTGTTACATTTTGATCAAACCTGGCCAGTTTCATTATTTTATCCTAAGCTATTAATATTTTACTATAAAACACTTTTATTACTGTTTTACTACTTATTTTACTGTCTTTGAGTGGAGTTTGTATTCATTAAAACTTTAAGCTTGGTGTTAGGCCTTAACTAATCTTTATACATTTACCCTCTTATGTATATTGTATAGTTGCTAATAGCCTATCAATATCTGTATAACCTATTACAAATTTCTGCAATTAGGCAGTTACATCCAACCCTGATTACCAGTTTGTCATGTTTAACTTCTATGTCTTGTTTCAGACAACCATAATAGTAAAGAGGCCATTTCCACCAACGCTTTATAAAGAGGGAAACCATGTTAGATTGAGGAATAGAACACACTATTATGATTTTGTTGAAGACACCAATACTAGGCCAGATCGCTTAGTTAATGTTGTACTTTCCTCCTACGTGGAAGGTAAGCTCTAACTGTGATTAATCCCCATCTCAATCAGGTCTGTATGTGTGGTGATGTGAACATTATCACCTGATATAATATTTATTATTTGATTTGTTTGTAAATATGGTATTTGTTCTCAACTAAAACATGGTTGTAATTTTGAATGAATAAAAGCCATACTTTTGGTTTACTAAGTCTTTCTCATAACAGTATGCAACTCTTGTAACCGAGCTTGGTAGGAGACGCTGTTATAAAAACAAGACATTATTTTTACTTCTTACAATTATGTGTTATAATTATTTAATTCAATAAGTACGTAACAATATCCCATCCTCGTCGCCATTGTTACGTACTTATTGAATTAAATAATTATAACACATAATTGTAAGAAGTAAAAATAATGTCTTGTTTTTATTTATTTCTCAAACTTAGAATTGTAAATATTACATCAGCTGTAAATAGAAATAAAATTAATTAATGAGTCCAGACTAATAGATATAATAATATATAACAGACGCCCACCTAAAATAAACAGTGGACGACTTGGTGTGTAGCACCTCAAATCAAGCGTTATATAACTTTTGCCTATTATTACTTTTATGTTACTATTGTGTCCGTCCACTGTAAACTAGTTTTTGTGGTGGGTTTGTTCATAAGATAGAACATTACAGCTCAGTCATATTAAGTAAAAAAAAAAAAAAAAAAAACACCTGTATTTATCAAGCGTTTCTTAGTAAAACTGCTTTTCAGAACAACTTTCATATTCTAAATAACAACTAGGATTGCTTTCAGAGAGGTGAAAGCCAGTTGAGCGGAACAAATGTGATTTGATATTTGTATAAGTAATTAAATGTAAAAAAAGTCAATATATGTACTAATGCTCGTTTTATTGATAAAAATTATAATAATTCAAATTTAGTTTTTTTTACTACTTCTTGATCAGATACCTCTCCAAAAGTGGATTATGGTAGTTTTGACCAGGAAAATATTACGTAGGTATTTGGAATCTGATATTAACATCCAAATACCCCCGCCGCAGCAAACCTGCAGACTAAGCGAATTTCCATTTGACTGATTGGATTTACACTGAAATGTCTACTTAAAAATATAACATTTTATTCTTGATTTAAATAGAATTAGTTTAACAAGTACTTAGGTTTACTGCATCAGGGAGGGTAAAACTTTTTTTTTGTAAAATGTGAATAGGTAGTGAGAAATAAAAACATTTTCCAAATTTGATCAAAATATGTTCACAAACAAGCAAACTACAACAGTTTACTTATTCTCCATAAGAATAACATGGGAATTTTAAATTTACAATTTTTTGGAATTTTCTCCGTAACTATTAGGCGCATAATAACGCTTCAATATACTAAATTATTTGTTTTTTTAAGCTCTACAAAATGGTTTGGAAAGAAATTGCTAAATTTTATGTTTTTTGGGTCAAAAATAGGAAAAACCTATTTTTACCCCATAAAACCCCCTGTAAACCCCCGTTCCCATGGTCCGATCATGCTGGATCGCGAACTCGTTCGAATAAACGTACGTTTACACGTTTGTACCAAATTTCATCCAAATCGGATCATTTTTGCTCGAGTTATCGTGCTGACGGACACATATATATATATATATATGTATAAATATATATATATATATATGAATTTGAACGGATGGTGTTTTTGGCCTCTAGGGACCTCAAAACGAAAAAAAAAATCGGTCCCGCATCCAGGTCTTACCATGAGTACTACGGTAATAGCTTATTCCCTATATGGGAAATTCGCTAAAAGGGCATTAACACGTTCGCTACTGCAGTAGTACAAAATTTTTCATTCGCATGGACCAGCGATGCACATATGCGACGGCCGGTTTCTACCCATAGACTGCCGTCACATATATGCGACGGCTAGTCACATTAAAATATACTGCCGTCAGTGCGTCGGGGTTCTAATGTTATTAAAATACGTATATCTTTGCAACGGTCTATTTGAAGGCCCTGAATTCACTGCAGTGGTCTACAGGGATGTCTGTCCGAGCATATCTGCGTCGCTTGGTCTGTGGATGTGATGATTAATGACGTAAAACGACAGTTGGAAAAACTGTGTTTACTTTGCTGCATCGCTGTCCACTTGTTGCGTGTATAACCTCAAAGAACGTGAGTGTGCTTTTGTTTAGTGAGTCTCCGTGATGTTTACTTAGTGACTTTTAGTTGTCCAAGTGAGTTTCTTTGATGACAAAAACAAAAATGAACTGTCACATATATGCGGAGTTTGGGCTATTTCAAGAAAATTATAAAAATTTTGAATATTGTCATCGCTACAGACCGGGCGTCGCAAATATGCGATATTGCAAAATTTTATAAAAAATACAAAAAATCAAGAATAATTATATTACAAACACGATTGCAGCGTATTACAATGTAAATGATCACTGTTTTACAGGTTTTCGCCCGTGGTCTGTGTGTACTGTTAACCAAGTGACAGCCGGTCTATGTGTAAGATTCAAATGTATACCTCGGTCTGTGGCAATGACCGCGGCGTCGCATATATGCGACGCTCAGTAGTATTCAAGTATAAATAAAAAAGAGAAAGGAAATTTAACTTTCAAATTCAACTGTAGCCTAAAATAAAAACATTGGACTTCATTTTTCACCCTTACAATCGGTTAAAGTATTTAAGTATAAAAAAACAGTAACTATTAAAAAAGCGAGTATTTAAGTATAAAAACTGGAGGGGAAATTTGACATTTAAATTCAACTGTGCAACATAAAAATTTGTCTTCATTTCTACCTTTGCAATCGGTTAAACTCAGCTTTCTTTGCTGGAAATAATTTATGATTGTTAATACCAAGTATTCTTGATGGAGGATATGATTGTAATGTAACTGGAATGTAGGTCTTCTACCAATTTTAGGACGATTTAGAGACGGCATTTTAATACCGGCCTTAATAAAACATAGGCCTATGAAAAATTTTGGGCTATTTTAATGTAAGACTCAAATGTAAAACACCTTTAAAAGACAAAATGAACTGAATTATCAACCATGTATTTCAATGTGTAAAAACGTAAAAACTGCAAAAAGACTAACTTATTGAACAATAAAATAAGATGGCTGAAATGTAGGCCTAAACTTAAGTAATAAGTAAACATCGCATTCAGCTGATTTAAGTGAAAACAGAATAATAACAAGAAGGGAAGACATGCCTTAAATACACAATGTAGATTTGGTCTCCAATTACGTCATCGTATTTTGTCACAACAAAGGCCTAATCTAAACAACCCAAATTAATCAGCCTAATTAAGAAATTTCCTTACAATCTTTAGCGTATTTTGCGTTGTTTGAAATACACCTTCAATAAGACAACTATTTATACAATAGGTTAAAGGCTCTACAATCACAGGCAAAATAGACTTAAGCACATCACTAGACAGGCCATAAATATCACGACTTTTAGGTAGAGCTTGAAGAGATGCTGAGGTTTTAAGAACATTGTGGCGATCAAGGAGAGCCATGAGGATACTTCTACTCTTCTTCAGGTCTTCATTGTAACAGGCTTTACCACCAGAGAACTGTCCACCGGAGTTGCAATTTGGGCCCCGCTTCTTCTGCAGTGGAAAGGACTCGTGGAAACCAAGCAATATTTGGTCAAAAAATAAATTAAAAATGTCTTCAGAGTTTGTACCTAATGCTAGTACAGACCAGTCGACACTGCTTAAAAACTGGAAGAAGTTATTTATTCGGGCTTCTGTTATGGGCCTATGGTATACAAGGGAGTTGGACTGTTCAAGATAAGTTTTCTCGGGATAGGCTAGGCGTATGTCTAAGTTAACTGCAGCATGGTCGGAAAGGCCATAATCCATAACTGTAGTAATATAACTGGTATAATTGAGATCAGTCAAAATATTGTCGAGAACTGCATTACCTCTTGTAGGCGTAGAGTTGGTTGGATGTAAGTTGAACTGCCTCATAAGTCTTGCAATTTCACACTGGATTGGTTTGGTAAAATCAGCCACCAAATCTACATTGTAGTCCCCTCCAATGACAAGAGAAGACGATTTAAGACTTAAAAGGAGACATAATAACCTTTCAAACTGATTGAGGAAAATATTTACATCACCATTAGGTGATCTATACACACTGACTACAATGATATTGCATTCGAGTTTGATGGCAGCAACTTCCAAATGTTGAGTTGAGCAAAAACGAGCAACATCCGTAACCTTATATTTTAGTCCATTTTTTACATAGATAGCTGATCCACCATGCACCATATCATCCCGCGCATAGTATGTGGCCAAATGTTAATCTTTTAGTCTATAAAAGCCAATCTCTTCAGTGTTGAGCCAATGTTCGGATATGCATAGGATATCATTTTTAATATCGCTTAAGACTACATCTAATTCCAGGGTTTTGTCCCTTATAGACTGAATATTCAAAAACATTAAAGATAAAACAGTTTTAGAACTAATAATACTGGTACGGTTGACTGGGTTACTTCCTTTGCTGGGCTCGGAAACCCTAAAAAACGGACTCTTCAAGACTTTCACTTTTAGACTGTCCATAGTGTTTATTTTTACGATGCACAAAGTCAGCAATTAGTACTCCTTCAGGCCAAAATTCACTTGAGAGCACTTTCTGCTGATCTACACTGGATAGGCCAATTTTTAACGAGCGGTAAGATGTGTACCGGGTTTTCAGTTTGCCACATTCCACATTTGAAACACCATTCTCCTTAAGATAGTCTTTCATTGATTGGCAGGTTCTATCAGGTGATAATCTAGAGATGAAAATCCAAGATTTTTTGTAACAACTTTAAGGCTAGAAGCAGCACTGGAGTCCTTGGTACCAATGATAACATTGTCTTGTCGTTTAGGCCTTGCATGATTGTCAAGAAGTAAAGGCTTAGGTTTACCAGCAGTCCTATTCCGCTTTACAACGTCTGCATATCCCAATGCGGAGTGTTCAATGTTCTCGTTGTCTGGGGTAGGTCTAGGCCTATGAGTATTTGAGTTGGGTGCAGC